TCGCTTACGATAATTGGCGTCTTAGTTTTTGACGGGACAACCTTCACGCAACAGTTTCATATAATATGATGAACAAAACAGTGTGGTAATTCATCGCTTTCATCATTTTATATGCTTTTGGGCTTTTTCATAAAAGATTTATTACGAAACTCAGTGTCAGGGTAGTTAAATCCAGATTTAAAATTCATAGTCAAATCTGAAAGAAAAAAATGTATCTGTATGGATGTTCACATCGGAATCGGACCATAGAGAAAGAGGTCTTTGTTGGTCTCCCATGGTTTACCTGTATTTCTTATTACTGATTGGTCAATATCTGCCGATGTGTAAGAGTGATACGGTCTCAAAAAAAGCCGTCCGATTAGCTCTACCTACTGGTAGAGCGTTGGACTGTGAATCGGGCGACCCGGTTTTGATTTCCGGACGGCACAGCTATATTTCGTTTTGATGTCTGAAATCCGTTTTTACGGTTCGATTCGCACTTGTCTCTGCCTCTTGCTTCGATGCGAAGTATCAGTACCTTGGCAAGTGGAAGGCAACTGGGTACTAGATAGCTTATTGACAGCCTTGCAGGACGAAGCGTGGCTGACTGTGCTCTGTGAATTTTCATTTTGGCATATGCCGTGTCCGGGTGATGAAAAACTTAAAACAACCACATCAGTTGTTCGTCTCTATTTTCCTCTGACGGCTATGTGTGGATAAGGCAAGGCACCCGGCCACGATCCATGCACGTGTAAGACATGTTACTATGTTTCCTACAGATCGGGGACGTATATACATTAGGATAAAGTGGTGGCCTTTAAAGAGGGAGAGAGTGGCTCAAAAAGTAGGACAACGCGAGGAGGTCGTGTAGGTGCAGTGAGCCCTGTCTTAGAGCAGTGACGGCTGGAAAGCAGGTTCCTTTGGATATTTTTTTGGGCATACTTTTCATATCGACCTCGATAACTGTACTTTAGGTTTATCTTGGCGACGTTATTGATTATTTTTGGCCTCAAATTTCTTATCGTTTTGGCCTATTCTCCGTGGGTATTGCATCGAGGTAAATATTCACCACTTTGTGCTTCAAAATTAACCCTTTAAGGGCTTGACTGGTGACATGTACGGGGTCCGCACTCGACAGCGAAAGCTGCTTTTTGTACTCTACAAGGGCTGATTGATCCTTATTAAGCATAGACTACCGACAGATTGATACGATTGACCGTCGTTGTATTCATCATAATTATAAACATGTATTTGTCTGAGACAATATTCTTCACAGTCCTGACTGCAGCAGTTTATACCTTTAATTCATGATAATCCCTTCCGTTATCCTGTAATTTGGCTTCTTATGATGCAATTTCAGATAGATATGATGCCAGTTTTAAAGAGCTAATAGAATCTTAAATTAAGTTGATAACAATTAAAGATCAAACACAATATGTTTGTTTTAGGAAATATGTTGTTCAACGTAATATCTTGAATAAATTGTAAACAAGTTTCAGAAGACTGAACTTTTTTCTGGCCTGCAAAATATGTTCCAAGTGCAGTCGGAGGGAAAGAAGGTGTTTTTAGCTCGACTTTTTTTTTTTTTTGAAAAAAAAAAAGTAGAGGTATTGTTATAGTCAGGTCGGCGTTGCCGTTGCCGTACCCGTTGCCGTTGCCGTTGCCGTCCGAAAACTTGTACCTGGATCATAACTTTTTTATTTCTTGGTGTATTGTCTTCATACTTGGCCACAACAACCCTTGGGACAAGACCTTTCAGTAGACCACACTAACCTTGACCTTCATCCATAAATGACCTTGACCTTCAAGGTTAAAAGTCCAATTTTGCTTGTTCATGCTGTTATTGGCTGTTACTTTGTTATTTTTTGAATGGATTGTCTTCAAACTTGAACATAATAATCTTCAAGGATATCCCTTAAAAATAACCAGTCAGACCTTGACATTCACTCATCAATGACCTTGACTTTGAAGGTCAAATTATTGAAATTTTCATTTTTTTGGCTATTATTGGCTGTAACTTTGTTATTTTTGAATGGATTGTCTTCAAAACTTGAACATAATAATCTTCAAAGATAACTGTTAAAAATATTCCGAAAGACCTTGACCTTCACTCATTAATGACATTGCCTTTGAAGGTCAAATTATTGAAATTTTTCATTGTTTTTTGGCAGTAACTGCTGTAACTTTGCTATTTTTGAAGGATAAACTTCATATTACAACAGAACATTCTTAAGGACCAGACCTTGTTGTTTATCAAAACCCAAATTTGCTTGGGCTCTTAAATGACCTTGACCTTGAAGGTTATATTACTGAATTTTCTCAGATTGTGCATTTATTGGTGTGTGTGTATGTATAGTATATTATATATATATATATATATATATATATATATATATATAAATGTGGTGTGTATATATATACATATATGCAGGTATATATATAAATATATATATATAAATTATGCATGTATATATATATATATATATATATATATATATATAATATATATATATATATATATAGATATAAAATATATATATATATATATATTATATATATCAAATATATATATATATATACATATATATACATGTATATGTATACATGTATATATATCAAATATATATATCTCAATATAATATATAATACATATATATACATGTATATATATAAATATATATATATATATATATATATATATATATTTTTTTTTGAATATATATATATATGCATATTATATATATATACACATATATATATATATATATTATATATATATATATATATATATATAATATATAAACATGAATATATATATATATATATATATACATATATGCATGTATATATATACACACACATACACATTAATTATATATATATATATATATATATATATATAAATTGCGTCTTTTTTTTTCTATTTTTTAGAAATTGCGTCATTTTTTTCTAATTTTTAGAAATTGCGTCATGTTTTTCTATTTTTAGAAATTGCGTCATTTTTTCTATTTTTAGAAAATGGCGGCATGTTTTTCTATTTTTAGAAATTGCGTCATTTTTTCTATTTTTTAGAAATTGCGTCATTTTTTTTGCTATTTTTTTTTTAGAAATTGCGTCATTTTTTTTTATTTAGAAATTGCGTAATTGTTGCTATTTTTAAGAAATTGCGTCATTTTTTTCTATTTTTAGAAATTGCGTCATTTTTGTTCTATTTTAAGAAATTGCGTCATTGTTTCTATTTTTTATAAAATTGCGTCATTTTTTCTTTTTTAGAAATTGCGTCATGTTTCTTCTATTTTTAGAAATTGCGTCCATGTTTTTTTATTTTTTAGAAATTGCGTCATTGTTGCTATTTTTAGAAATTGCGTCATTGTTTTCTATTTTTAGAAATTGCGTCATTTTTTTCTATTTTTAGAAATTGCGTCATTGTTTCTATATTTTTAGAAAAATTGCGTCATTTTTTTCTATTTTTAGAAATTGCGTCATTGTTGCTATTTTTTAGAAAATTGCGTCATTGTTGCTATTTTTTAGAATTGCATCAATTTTCTATTTTTAGAAATTGCATCATTGTTTGCTATTTTTAGAAATTGCGTCATTTTTTTATTTTTAGAAATTATGTCATTATTTCTATTTTTAGAAATTTCGACATTTTTTCTATTTTTAGAAATTGCGTCATTGTTGCTATTTTAAGAAATTGCGTAACTGTTTGCTATTTTTAGAAAATATGCTTTAATGTTTCTATTCATATATATATACAAATATATATACAAAACTAATGTGACAAGACAGACCAACTAAATTTATAAAAAGGAAACGTCAATATATGTTCAAACCTTTCTATGTTTGCGTTTAGAAAAAGTAAAAAGTCGAGCGTTGCCCCCGCCCGGCGGTGGCTCTTGTTTTATATAACAATTAAAGATCAAACTTAGGTGATTACAATATTTTTGTTTCAGGAAATCTGTTGTTCAACGTAATATATTGAATAAATTGTAAACGTGTGGAGAACGAGTTTTAGAAGACTAAATTTTTTTTCTGGTCTGCAAAATATGTTCCAAGTTCAGAGGGAAAAGAAGCTTTTTTAAATCTACGAAACAGGTTCTCTGCATCTAGCAAACAAGAAATCAATTTGACGTGGCCTGATCTAATGTAATCTATAAGTTTATCATCCTATCAGCGATAATTAATTCTTTTCAAATTATTGTGTGTATTTAAGTAGATAATACTGAAGTATTTAAAAAATATTTATAAATGCTTTGTTGACCAGAGCATATAAAACATATAAACACGGAAATATTATCCTTTAAGCTATAAAACATGATTTATAGCTCTAACACACGCCATTGCCTAATGTATATTGAAGTTCATTTATGACCTACTATTAATTCGATGAGATAAAGGTAAGATTTAAAAAGGATGATAACTTTGGTCTTTGATTTTCAATAATTTAACAATTTTTAGCGTCTTTTGAAAAGTTAATATATTTGTAACATATAATTATGCAAATAAATACAAGCGTGTCTCAACACTGTGCATTTCATATTGGGTACAGATGAAAAATATTTGTAAACATTACATTATTGCTAAACTTTTCCTGACATCATTTGATGGATATCAGATCAAAACGAAATCTAACAGTTAGTAAGTTTTCACAAAAAGAAATGCCATCGTTGGATACTTAACTGAGGGAGATCTTACACACAAAGAATGTAATCGGTGTTAAGTTATCAGAGGGATATCTAGTACAAAATGACTCGAACGAAACAAGCATTTTTCTGTCACTTAAATACAATGTATAACTATTGGAATATATAGTTATTATAAATAAAGAAGAAAGTGAATATATATCAACTTTATTCAAATTAAGGAGTCAGTAAAAAACATCGATTTCAAATTTACAATTTCAGGTTATGTCTTGTTATACAATAATTGTCTACATATAAGCAACTGTCTGAAACACAGTTCATTTCTTAATTTGATAGCAATTTGTTTCATTTCAAACTAAAATTAATTGATATATTTAAAAAAAAATTCTTTATTAGAATAAAATATTGATTAAGCGAATATAAGCACACCAAGAAAACAACACCCAAGTTAAAATATTAATAAATTTATAAAAAAATGATAAGATTGAAAATTGAAAAACATTTATAGAAATCTATTAAAGAGACTCCACTAAGTTCCAAACGCCCGAAAATATAAAATCCTAATTTCTAACATAGTTCTGCTGGAGTACTTAAAATAAAATGTTATGTAAAAAATATGTAAAAGAAATATACTAAGAAATAAATTTAAAATAGTATTTTTGTGCTATTCTTAGTCCGATTTGAGTGAAAAGCGTTGCAACATTTTTCAATTTTGAGTCATATTACGAGTTTGGAAAAAAAACAACACACAGTGAGTGAATGATGAAATGATGCGCATAAGTTATTGGTTCCAACTTGCATCAAACGGAACAATAATATCGAAATGATATTTCCTATTTAGTCATGTCAAAAAGCAGTGGAAACCCTTTAAACTTATAACCGACTGTTCCAATTAAAGGCAGGGCAAATTATTTTTTACATAGCAAGCAGGCTGAGGGCAAAGTTATCTTTTAGATAAATTCAGAAATATAAAAAAATTCCTTTCCGTTAACAATATGAAAAAAGGGACGCAATCAAACAAAAATGTGTATGTATATCAAAACATCTACTTGGGCGTTACCCCCCTTTAGTTAGTTAGTATTTAAATTTTATTTTCCAAATTAATATAAATATATATTATACCATCACAAGAATATGGCTTTATAATATCATCTCTTTCAAATTGTAAACATAGGTAAGATCAAACAAACTGCCTTAAACTTAGCCCTTTACTAGCCGGCTGAAGCGACTTATTCGTCTTTTTAGATTCAAAGATGGATAAATACATTTAAGATATTTGCGGATTAAGTGTTAATGAATAAATAAAAAATGAAAAATCGCTGGCAATACAGGTAGAGGTTAGTGGACAGGTAGTCAGTACTATTTAATTATTGAATACAAATATGCGGAATTCTTTTTATAACCCATACTCAGGGCACATAGTTCGTATTTAGGAATCAACAATAGTCGTATCAATCATCAACACACAGTTGGAATGTGTTAATTGTGCTCAGTTGTAATTAAGAAAGTCAATAACTAATCCTGACATATAGTATTCAATAGATAGTCTTCATCACCTTCTGCCATGTAAGATGTAAACTAAATAATAATCAAACGGTTCATCCCTTATGGCATCTTCTTCCTCATCCTGAAACAGACATACAAATGAGCCGTGTCACGACAAAACCAACATAATGGGTTTGCGACCAGCAAGGATCCAGACCAGCCTGCGCATCCGCGCAGTCTGATCAGAATCCATGCTGTTCGCTATCAGTTTCTCTACTTGTAATAAAGTTGGTAAGCGAACAGCATGGTCATGTGACCACAAATGTCAACGTACATGGCCAAAATAGCACAGCTCAGGTGAGGCTTTTAGTGGTTATTTTTCTATCAAGCTGATTTAAATGATGGCACATAGCCTACCAACCGCGGCATTTCTGATGATATCTAAAAATGCATTTGATGTCGTCTAACGTTTTGTATTTTCTGAGAACATTCAAACAATATTTACAATTTTTTGTCAATGGAACCAACGTACACACTCCTTGTATAAAACAGTGTTGAAAAAATATTTAATAAAAGATAACGCATGTCAGTCAAATTTTCTTCGTTTTTTAAAATGTATAAGGAGAATGTTTTAATAAAAAAGAAAAACGGGTTTCTGCTTGTCATTTTTTGTATTTATTTAAAAAAAGTGTTCAAACTAACAGGAAAGTCAACCCGTACACCACTTCCAATTAAGTTTAATAGTGGTTTCTGAACATAAATGCTACAAAACTTCGGACTAAGGTGGGGATTTTTCTAACAAAAAGTTGGTTTCTATTTAGATTGGTCCTTTCTCCAAAACTGTATATTAGTAACTGGTTTTTAACAAAAGAAAAAAGTGCGGAGTTGCATTATTTCATCGCAAAAAGCTTTAACAACATTTAACTTTTATAATGTTATTTATTTGTCCTTTTGTTTTTAGATGAAAAATTTCCAGCTAACAGCCATCTTAATCACGTAAACAGCAAGGTTAAGCGTCTCTTGCTCAACGAAACTAGTGCCTTCCGTAGCAACAAAAGGGTCCAAGGTAGATGATGACGTTGAGTTACATTTTTATAGGTATTACAGGTATTTCAGCAGAGCAGTTGCGTCACTGGAAAACGAACTTTCTATTATCATTATATTTTCAATAATATATCTCCTTGCACTAGTGATGTTATTGCCACATGTCATAGGCACTCATTTTATACACGAGCTAGCTTAATAGACGTGTCATGTATTTTTGCATCCACTTTGTTTTCTTTGCCTTTGTTGTTTCACAAAATTTTGCCAACCATTGATTGTTAATTTACAAGTCTATGATATATATTTAATAAAAAAGTTCAAGTGCCACACATTTTAGAAAATTTGAATTGCAATCCAAATATAGCTACTAGTAACCATTTTCCGGTAACTGGTTACTTGAGCAGTAAAAGCTTTTTACTACAAACTTGCTACTATAGTAACTAACAATCTAACAAAGGGTAATTGTTTACCTTAACCAATAAAATAGTGAATTGTTTATAAGATATCTTTTATATAACTAGCGCAAGTAGATATGTTCTTGAAAATATAATAATAATATAACGTTAGTGACGGTAGTGATGTAAATGACGCATCTGCTGAAATACTGGTAATATAAAATTGGAACCTTGGACCCTATACTGCTACGGAAGGCACTAGTTTGGTTGAGCAAGAGACGCTTATCCTTGCTGTTTACGTTATTAAGATGGTTGTTAGCTGGAAATTTTTCATCTAAAAACAAAAGGACAAATAAATAACATTAAAAAAGTTAAAGGTTATTAAAGCTTATTTGTGATGAAATAAATGCACTCGCTACTTTTTCCTTTGTAAAAACCAGTATACTAATATACAGTTTGAGAGGACAATCTAAATAGAAAACCACTTTTTGTTAGAAAAAGCCACCTAGTCCGAAGTTGCAGCATTATGTTCAGACCACTAACAAACTAAATTGGAAGTGTGTACGTTGACATTTTATCTGAATTGCCCCGGTCGGCAGGCTTTAATGCATTAATCAGCTTAATAATAATAATGATAATAATAATCAGCTTGATAGAAAAATAATTACTAAAAAACTTACCTCAGCGGGCTTTTATTGCCGTGTACGTTGACTTTTGTGGTCACGTGACCAAAGTTGCTTTCCCACGGTGATATACGAAACCGAAATGTCCTACTTTATAATTTCTTATTCGTGTTTTTACTTGTCACAGTTACATATCTATCGAAATAAGGATAATATTAACTTTGCACATATGCCATTAATCTAATATGTAACAAGAGCACCGCATGTGGTGTTAACCCTCGTCTAATAATAACCAATTTTGACAAAATTCCTACGTAAAATAAGGGGAATAACTTCAATAATATAACTTTCAGAACTATAACTGCCTATTGTCAGGATAAGCAAGTATTCCAAGTTCCATATTGATATCAGAAAAAAAATGTTTGAGTTATGCGCTACATTAAAGATTTTGAACGACAACGACGCCGAAAAGACCATAATTAATAGCTCGATTTTTTCTTCGGAACACACGAGCTAATAAAAAAATATTTTGGGGACATTTTTCTTACCTGTAATTGCATACAGCGAATTTCCACAGAGTATTTATTCTAATTCATGAAAACGGTAATGGCAAACGTACACACAAACAATAACATTGAAGGCAGAATAGAAACGCCTGAAAATGAAAATAAAAGAGTTAATTTAAATTCTATACTGATATCTAATAAATCAATATATTAATAGTATTGAATCAATCCATTTTATTTTCTGGTGAAACGAGGACAACATAGACAAACAGTGTATCCGAAATAAGTTTGATAACAGTTTAATGTCAATAAATAAAGGAAATTAAATTAAAAAAAAAAACCCCAAAAAGTATCGACTGGTACTAACAAGATATACAACGTTCCCGGTGTTCCTAATATGACTAAAATATATGAAATTCTTACAAAATGTGTCTAATTTAAATAAAAGGATGAATAAACTATGTATGGGAAGCTTTGTTTCCTATTGCAGGTCAAGAAAAGTTGGTATTTTCTGAAAGAAACTGCCAGTTTTTTTTAATGACACTATATATTCATATTATGACAAAGCATGTTTATTTATTGTTTACAACGAGACTGACATTTTCTAACATTAAATTTGAGCATAATATATGAGCCGCGTCACGACAAATCCAACGTAATGCGTTTACGACCAGCATGGATCCAGACCAGCCTGCGCATCCGCGCAGTCTGATCAGGATTCATGTTGTTCGCTTACAAACCCTATTAGAAGTAGAGAAACTGATAGCGAACAACATGGATCCTGATCAGACTGCGCGGAGGCGCAGGCTGGTCTGGATCCATGCTGGTCGCAAACCCACTATATGTTGGTTTTTTCATGGCTCGGCTCATGTCATCTTTTATGATACTTACCGCTATCACAGAGTGAGCCACTCGCTGTATAACCTGATATACATTGACAAGTTGTGTCACATTCAGCGTTACTAACGCCAGCGCAGTGTGCATCATCAGTACATGTATCATTAAGACCTAAAATTTGAACAGATGTATGATTCTTGCGAGTTATTTGAATTCATAGTGCAATCTTCTGATTAAAGTCAACAGAGTCTTAAGATATACGTATAAACACAATAGGAACCGTAACATTTTACTCTGTTATATGATGTGTAACGAGTTAACTAAATGCACAAACCTTTCGAAGCACAAGCAGCTCCATCCACTTTGTATTGTCCCTCACATACACAATTTGTGTTACAATTAGCGTGTGTCACTCCTGCACAATGACCGTCTGCACTGCAAGAATCACCCAAAGCTGAAAAATAAAACAGTTCAACGTTTTTGTACATTATACAATATACCTTACAATTAGCGTTTATTCCAGCTGCACAACGAGTCATCGACAGAGCTAAATTTTAACGTATTTTATATTATGCAATCAACAACATTGTTTCACATAAGATTTGTTACGAACAAAATTGCTGAGTGAGTACAAAAAACCTATATTGTACCAATAAGTGTATTTCTAATATGATCTATGAATTCACTTATTTTAGGTGGACTTTCACTTGAAATACTGGAAATAAACTTGTCAACAAATACCAGCATTAAATTACCATTTGTGTACATGTTTAGTTTCTTAGACCGAAATACGTATCCGTTCTGTGAATTCATACTTTTGTTTTCCATGTCCTTACCCGAAGACTGACGGAAAGGGCCGAAAAGTTGCGATTGTATGATGTAATGATTTAAGAACATTTCAGTCTGCCATCCAGAAGTCTTTCAAAATATAAAGTTATTAAATTCTGAACAAACCGATTATTTTAGTATATCTGAACGCCAGAAACAATTACATCGTTATTATTTATTTCGCATAAACCTTCCCACATTAAAAGAGTTTTCAACATACAAGTAGTGAAATTTAATGACATGCGCCCTCCTGCTGCGTGAACAGTGTAGATAGGTAGGACGAAATGGTAAACAAATAATAATTTTCCAATATTTTAGTGGTGAATTTAAAGTCTACATATTAAGGATCTTGATCCTGATAAAAATTTACATTGTAAGAATGTGGATTGGAAATGACAACACATTTCATTAAGATGAATTTGTTGAAATAAGTCACAAAAGCATACCTTTACTCATACTAATCTTAGTTAATATTTCAACTTAAAATTAATTTACTTCATCGTTTATCAGTATCAATCATGGAATCAGTGTCTTTGTTCATTTAAATTCACAGGTCTTTGTTATTTTTGCAACGATTAAAACAGTGTGCTTCGATTAATAATAATAATTTAAAAAAGTATGGAAAACGTTATGAACTGTTAAACCATTGCAAACGTCGACTAAAAACGTACAAAGAAATGTTTGTTCGTGGTTTTTTACCTGCAGACATGTTCATAAAATATTTACTCTGCGGATTATGGTCAGTAAACTATGAACGTTCTGAGCACAATCTCACCACAACTATAACTGAACGAAAGAGGAATTGTTTCTATATGCCAAAAATGAACAATATGTTGTTTATAACATTTTGGTTACTTTCACTTTTGATTCAAATGTCTGTTGCACTTTTACTATTTTGTTCTCAATAAATCATTGCTTAGAATAATGGAAATACATTTATAAAATGCTCTGATTGACCTAACATACGCGTACCATTTAATGTTCACCTACAATAAGTTAACAAGAAAAGCATTGATGCAAAGCATCAAAGGGCGTCCAAGCAAGAAATGCAGCAAGTGAAGATGAACTAGTACACATATGATGACAAAATATTCTTATAAACTACCAGAAATGTATATCACTTATGAATGAGCGGACGAAAGACATTGTTCATTATGAACTTTGATTGGCATGCTAGAGATTAGAATATTACTTGTTATTTTTTATGATCGTGGTTATTAATAGCAACGGATATACATGTATGCAATCATTTATAATCCATATGTGTAACGCATGATCAACACGTACCACACATTTGTAATTGTCCCTTATTATGTTATCGCTATTAGCGAAGACCCCCTTAAGGTATCTGTTCACACTTTAAGTTAGTAAAAATATGACACTGGTTAAATTACCATGTTGATCATGTTGAGCATAATTGTTTATTATACAATAATTGTAATATCTATTAATTTTAATTAAAAAAAATACAAAATTTTATGAATATTGTTTTCTTTTATTCTTTTTTTTTTGTGTTGTTTTATTGTGTTATTTTAATACTGAGTTTTTACTACTCTTTTTTTTAAAATTGTAAAATAAATTTTAAAGAATTCAATTGTCTTATTGACCGACGATTATAAGTCAAAACTTAACTGGAAAAAGTTCAAGTAAATGGTTTATCTTTCAATATATAATATTGTTTATTCTTAAACCATGTACATGTACATTGTTTTTTCTTTATCATTTTTTAAAAATTATCAATCAATTGAATAATTAATAAAATCTAATTTGTAACTTTGAATAATTCCCTCGGCATCTTTACTAAACACGGATAACAAATTAAATAAAATGTTTCAAAGTTGATAATGTCATTCTAATACCATAAAAAATGTACCTTTTTCTCAATTATTGTACATATCACGGATTTATATTACATATAAATCCGTGTACATATTTATTGTTTTTATCTCATATAGATAAAATGAAACATGCTATTGTTGTTTTTTTTTCTAATTGTAACGATATCAAACATCTACCCCAAAACCGGGAGAGACCGGACAATAAACGTGTGGTACTATATTCGCCGGTCACTAGTAAATCCTGGTCAAAATAGACCGGGAGAGACCGGCATTTACCGATAGGAGTGATAAATAGATATATCTATAAATAGGCTTGGAATATTTAGGTCATCAACTGATCATTCTAGGATACATGTACAACAATAACATACCATGATAACCGACTGTGTACTACAAAATGATAAATAAAAAAACCCGAAGAGCGCGATTTATTGACGGAAAAGGTTATTTCATTTGAAAATGTTTGCATTGCGAAAATTCATTGTAACATATCGCGACATTTCATTCTTAATTAATAATCAAGCACCCTCATACCGATCGGAATTTTCGGCTTTTATTATGACCGACTAAAAGGCTCGAGAAGTTGCTGTCGCCCTTTCACAAAATCTGATTTCATTCCATAAGAGCGCCGCGCTTCGGCGCGGACGCCAATGATCCTCCTTTAACCCCGATAATGACGAAAGTGACGACAACAAGGGCAAAAAATTATCATCACAGATCCGCTTGATTTCGAAGCGATTTTTTTAATTTCCAAAATGATTTGCTTTAAAGTTTTACATTTTAATATTTTATTTCGAATAGTTGAACTGTTTTACCTTAGTGAAATGTAGCTAGAAGCTTGGCAAGAAATATACAATGAATAAAACTTTGCTAAAAATTGAAGTAACATATTACCTCTCAAAATCATTAGATTTTGCAGTTTAAAAATAGTCGACTGGCTCACCTTTCTCGTTTAGATACATTTTCATAATGACTCTTCTGAGATTGAAGAATAAAATAGATGCCTTATTGGTTGAGGGAGAAATGATCATATGTAAACAATCATTAGGTTTTTATTTTTCAACTTGAATTGCAGTATTTTCGAAAATACAGAGATGATGAGCTTTATTCTTACCAATTGTAAACGCTAAGGAAAGACTACGATTTTGTGTTTTAAAAGGAATATCTACATGCGTACTGATATACATGTATATCTAATAAATAAATTTTCCATAAACAGACAATTTTCTTAAATGTATTAACAAAGTGCAAAAACCTCTGGAAACGCAATTAACTCCATCTAATTTGTATTGTCCATCACACACGCAACTTCCCCCATCATTTCTGTAGTTTCCCGCACATGCGCAAGTTGAACCGATACATTCAGCGTTGGAGACTCCTGCACAGTCCGAGTTAGCGGTGCAGGTATCACCTAGACCTAAATAAAAGATAAAACGTTTTAAGGTATCTGGGAAATAATATGCTTTTCTTTCAACTGAAACGAACATGTGAAGAACACCTTTAAAAAGTCCCACAATAAGCACGATAAAACTTTTGATTTAATGGTGAAATGAAACTAAAAGCTAGTTTAGAGATAACACCATAGTTTGATAAAAACATTGGCAATAGTATCAGTTGTAAGGCTTGTTGTTAAAGCATTTACAGTTTGAAAAATATTGGATTTCTTTCTGTTTTCTAAAGCGGAAAGTCACATGCAAAGTGATACATGTATTTAAATTTTAATTATTGAGAAATTTCTCTGTATTTAAATACACAACTTAGACTTATTTTTATTTTTACATAATATGCTATTTCAATTGAAAATCACGTGACGAATGTTGTTAAACCTGCTGTGGTAAATGTACCATAAGTAAAACATATTTTCGTAGTTAAATGTAGTTAAATGTAGCTAAATGCTTGGCAAGAAATATACAAATAGCACACATATTGATAAAAACTTTGCTAATAATATAAATTAAATGTATATTACATCTAAAAAATTATTGAATTTCGCAGTTTAAAAAATAGTCGACCGGTTAATCTTTCTAGTTTCAATACATTTAATAATGAATCTTTTGAGATAGAAGAATAAAATATATGCCTTACTGGTTCAGGAAGAAATGATCATATGTAAACAACCATCAAGTTTTTTATTTTTAAGCTTAAATTGAAGAATTTTCGAAAACAAAAAGATGATGAACTTTATTTTTACGCAATGAAAACGTTTGTGCATTAGCCACTTAAAAACTACAATTTTGTTTGTTTTAAAGGAAGATCTAAATGTGTACTAATATACATACATATCTAATAAGTAAATTTTCCATAAACAATTTTCTTAAATGTATTAACGAAATGCAAAAACCTTTGGAAACGCAATTAACTCCATCCATTTTGTATTGTCCATCACATACGCAACTTCCCCCATCATTTCTGAAATTTGCCGCACATGCGCAAGTTGTACCGCTACATTCAGCGTTGGAGACTCCTGCACAGTCCGCGGTATCAGCGCAATTATCACCTAGACCTAAATAAAAGTTAATACTTTTTAAGGTATCTGTGAAATAATATGCTTTTCTTTCAACTGAAACAAACATGTGAACACCTTAAAAATGTCCGCAATAAGCATGATTAAACTTTTAATTTAATGGTAAAATGAAACTGAAAGTTAGTTTAGAGATAACACCATAGTTTGATAAAAACATTACCAATAGTATCAACTCTAAGGCCTGCTGTTAAAGCATTAACACTTTAAAAAATATTGGATTTCTTTCTGTTTTCTAAAGCGGAAACTCACATGCATAGTGTTACGTGTAAAAAATTTTTTAATCATTGAGAAATGAACTCTCAACACAGACAATTTTATGTGTTTGCCCAAAGCATAAACCTTTACAAACACAATTAGCATCATCCACTTTTTATTGTCTCTCACATACACAATTTGTGTTACACTTAGCGTTTGTCGCTCCAGCAAAATCAGAGTTGGGAATGCAAGTATCACCCAAAGCTAAATAAGTTAACGTTGTTTTTTTATACTATACAATCATTATCTTTTTATCGAATTATATTGGATACGAAAAGCTTTGACGAGTAAGTACAATAACCCACATTGTATAAAAGTGAGTATAAAAGCTGCCGGTACAGACCGGAATATCTAGCTCGAGGGTAACTGTTTACGGTGGTAACGAGGCTCTCCCGAGCTTCCGCTAAACAGTTACCAGAGATCTAGATATTCCCGTCTGTACCGACAGCCGGTGTTTGATTCTTTTTCTTGCATACTACGTATCAATAATTTTCAAAACAGAAATTACAAAAACTGATATTCTAATTACGCACTTTTTTCTTATAGTAGCGTATGAACTTACAACTTCATTCATACTGTAAAATATGACATCATCCTAAGAACGCAATCCATTCATAAAATGCGCGCGGCAATGACTTCACTTAAAACACGCGACTTGTCTAACATGGTGGTGTAAGACAGGGTTTTCTAGCACCAGTGTAAATGGTAGATAATCCTGTCTGACATGCAAAAAAGTAGCGTTTGTCACTCCTGCACAATCCGAGTCATCACCCAAAACTAAATCAGTTCGATTTCAATGTATTTTATTCCATACAATGATAAACTTGAACAAAATTTGGTACGAAAAAGGTTTTATGAGTAAGTACAAAACCCAAATTGTACGAGTAAGTACAATATGATACTTTACGCACATTTTAGTCAGCCATTTAAGAAAAGTCTTTCCAAATATATTTCAATGAAATATTAAACTTAACAATAATTTTATTGTTTTCTGAACGTAAGTAACATTCGTATCATAACAACTAATTTTGCAAAGACTTTTCAAAATACCCGTAATTGAAATAAATGACAAAGTCTTGGCGCTGTGTGAACAAAAGAAATATGGATATTATGCAATCTCAAACTTTGTTTTGCATACAATGGTGTTTCACGAGTTAGTATAAAAACACAGAATGTCCGAGTATGTGTAATATAATAATGTGAACAAAATGATGATATATATCCATGGCGGTCGCCACTTTTTTTAGTTTCTTTGTCACATACACAATTTGTGTTGCAATTAGCGTTTGTCACTTTTGCACAATCAGTCAGCACCGCATGTATCAATCAAAACTAATTAAGTTCAACAATGTCTATATATTGCAATTGAACGTGTTCTTAGTTTTTTTGTATTCAAATACAAAACATAGACTCATTTTTATTTATTACATAATATGCTATTTCAATTGAAAAGCACGTGACGAATGTTGTTAAACCTACCGCGGTAAATCTACCATTAGTAAATCATATTTCCATAGTTAAATGTAGCTAAACTCTTGGCAAGAAATATACAAATAGCACACGTGTTGATTGAAACTTTGCTAATAATATAAGGTAAATGTATATTACATCTAAAAAATCATTGAATTTCGCAGTTTAAAAAATAGTCGACCGGTTAATCTTTCCAGTTTCAATACATTTAATTATGAATCTTTTGAGATAGAAAAATAAAATACATGCCTTACTGGTTTATGAAGAAAATAATGATCATATGTTAACAACCATCAAGTTTTTTATTTTTAAGCTTAAATTGAAGAATTTTCGAAAACAAAAAGATGATGAACTTAATTTTTACGCAATGAAAACGTTTGTGCATTAGCCACTTAAAAACTACAATTTTGTTTTTTTTTAAAGGAAGATCTAAATGTGTACTAATATACATACATATCTAATAAGTAAATTTTCCATAAACAATTTTCTTAAATGTATTAACGAAATGCAAATACCTTTGGAAACGCAATTAACTCCATCCATTTTGTATTGTCCATCACATACGCAACTTCCCCCATCATTTCTGAAATTTGCCGCACATGCGCAAGTTGTACCGCTACATTCAGCGTTGGAGACTCCTGCACACTCCGCGGTATCAGCGCAATTATCACCTAGACCTAAATAAAAGTTAATACTTTTTAAGGTATCTGTGAAATAATATGCTTTTCTTTCAACTGAAACGAACATGTGAAGAACACTTAAAAAATGTCTGCAATAAGCATGATTAAACTTTTAATTTAATGGTAAAATGAAACTGATAGCTAGTTTAGAGATAACACCATAGTTTGATAAAAAACATTGCCAATAGTATCAACTCTAAGGCCTGCTGTTAAAGCATTTACAGTTTTAAAAAAAAATTACTGGATTTTTCTTTCTGTTTTCTAAGGCGGAAACTCACATGCATAGTGATACGTGTAAATAAATTTTAATTATTGAGAAATGAATCTCTCAACACAGACACTTTTTATGTGTTTGCCCAAAGCATAAACCTTTACAAACACAATTAGCATCATCCACTTTTTATTGTCTCTCACATACACAATTTGTGTTACACTTAACGTTTGTCGCTCCAGCAAAATCAGAGTTGGGAATTTAAGTTTTACCCAAAGCTAAATAAGTTAACGTTGTTTTTTTATACTATACAATCATTATCTTTTTATCGAATTATATTGGATACGAAAAGCTTTGACGAGTAAGTACTATAACCCACATTGTATGTGTGAGTATGCCGGTACAGACCGGAATATCTAGCTCGAGGGTAACTGTTTACGGCGGTAACGATGCTCTGCCGAGCTTCCGCTAAACAGTTACCCGAGATCTAGATATTCCCGTCTGTACCGACATCTGGTGCTTGATTCTTTTTCTTGCATATTACATATCAATACTTTTCAGAACAGAAATTACGAAAACTGATATTCTAATTACGCACTTTTTTCTTATAGCAGCGTATGAACTTACAACTTCATTCATACTGTAAAATATGACATCATCCTAAGAAAGGAATTCATTCATAAAATGTGCGCGGCAATGACGTCACTTAAAAACATGGGGGTGTAAGACAGGGTTTTCTAGCACCGGTGTAAATGGTATATAATCCTGTCTGACATGCAAGAAAAGTAGCGTTTGTCACTCCTGCATCATCCGAATCAGCAGCGCAAGTATCACCCAAAACTAAATCAGTTCAATGTATTCTATTCCATACAATGATAAACTTGAATAAAATTTGGTACGAAAAAGGTTTTATGAGTAAGTACAAAACCCAAATTGTACGAGTAAAACCCAAATTGTACGATGATACTTTATCCACATTTGAGTCAGCCATTTAAGAAAAGTCTTTCCAAATATATTTCAATGAAATTTTAAACTTAACAATAATTTTATTTTTTTCTGAACGTTAGTAACATTTTTATCATTACAACTAATTTTGCAAAGACTTTTCAAAATATCCGTAATTGAAATAAATGACAAAAGTCTTCGCAAAAGAAATATGGATTTTATGCAATCTCAAACTTTGTTTCGCATACAATGGTATGAAAATGTTTCATGAGTTAGTATAAAAACTCAGATTGTCCGAGTATGTGTAATATGATAATGTGAACAAAATGATGATATATATCCATGGCGTTCTCCACTTTTTTTAGTTTCTTTGTCACATACACAATTTGTGTTGCAATTAATCAGCACCACATGTATCAATCAAACTAATTAAGTTCAACAATGTCTATATATTGCAATTGAACGTGTTTTAAATTTCTTTGTATTCAAATACAAAACTTGAACTCATTTTTTTATTACATAATTTATTAATTGAAAATCACGTGACGAATGTTGTTAAACATATCGCGGTAAATGTACCATTAGTAAATCATATTTCCGTAGTTAAATGTAGCTAAACGTTTGGCAAGAAATATACAAATAGCAAATTGATTAAAACTTTGCTAATAATATAAATTAAATGTATATTACATCTAAAAAAAATTGAATTTCGCAGTTTAAAAAATAGTCGACCGGTAAATCTTTTTATTTTCAATACATTTAATAATGAATCTTTTGAGATAGAAGAATAAAATATATGCCTTACTTGTTTAGGAAGAAGTGATCATATGTAAACAACCATATTTTTTTCATTTTTAAGCTTAAATTGAAGTATTTTCGAAAACAAAAAGATGATGAACTTTATTTTTACACAATGAAAACGTTTGTGCATTAGCCACTTAAAAACTACAATTTTGTTTTTTTAAAAGGAAGATCTAAATGCGTACTGATATACATGCATATCTAATTAGTAAATTTTCCATAAACAGACAATTTTCTTAAATGTATTAACTAAATGCAAAAACCTTTGGAAACGCAATTAACACCATCCATTTTGTATTGTCCATCACATACGCAACTTCCCCCATCATTTCTGTAATTTCCCGCACATGCGCAAGTTGTACCGCTACATTCAGCGTTGGGGACTCCTGCACAGTCCGAGTTAGCGCCGCAAGTATCACCTAGACCTAAATAAAAGATAATACTTTTTAAGGTATCTGTGAAATAATATGCTTTTCTTTCAACTGAAACGAACATGTGAAGAACACCTTAAAAATGTCCGCAATAAGCATGATTGAACTTTTAATTTAATGGTAAAATAAACTGATAGCTAGTTTAGAGATAACACCATATTTTGATAAAAACATTGCCAATAGTATCAACTCTAAAGCCTGCTGTTAAAGCATTAACAGTTTAAAAATATTGGATTTCTTTCTGTTTTCTAAAGCGGAAACTCACATGCATAGTGATACGTGTAAATAAATTTTAATTATTGAGAAATGAATCTCCCAACACAGACAATTTTATGTGTTTGCCCAAAGCATAAACCTTTACAAACACAATTAGCATCATCCACTTTTTATTGTCTCTCATATACACAGTTTGTGTTACACTTAGCGGTTGTCGCTCATGTACAATCAGAGTTGGGAATGCAAGTATCACCCAAAGCTAAATAAGTTAACGGTTGTTTTTTATACTATACAATCATTATCTTTTTATCGAATTATATTGGATACGAAAAGCTTTGACGAGTAAGTACAATAACCCACATTATATGAGTGAATATAAAAGCTGCCGGTACAGACCGGAATATCTAGCTCGAGGGTAACTGTTTAATGCGGTAACGAGGCTCTGCCGAGCTTCCGCTAAACAGTTACTCGAAAGCTAGATATTCCCGTCTGTACCGACAGCCGGTGTTTGATTCTTTTTCTTGCATATTACATATCAATAATTTTCAGAACAGAAATTACGAAAACTAATATTCTAATTACGCACTTTTCTCTTATAGTAGCGTATGAACTGACAATTTCATTCATACTGTAAAATATGACATCATCCTAAGAACGCAATTCATTCATAAAATGCGCGCGGCAATGACGTCACTTTAAACACGCGACTTGTCTAACATGGTGGTGTAAGACAGGTTTTCTAGCACCGGTGTAAATGGTAGATAATCCTGTCTGACATGCAAAAAAGTAGCGTTTGTCACTCCTGCACAATCCGAGTCAGCAGCGCAAGTATCACCCAAAACTAAACTAAATCAGTTCAATGTATTTTATTCCATACAATGATAAACTTGAACAAAATTTGGTACGAAAAAGGTTTTATGAGTAAGTACAAAACCAAAATTGTACGAGTAAAACCCAAATTGTACGATGATACTTTATGCACATTTGAGTCAGCCATTTAAGAAAAGTCTTTCCAAATATATTTCAATGAAATTTTAAACTTAACAATAATTTTATTTTTTCTGAACGTTAGTTACATTTTTATCATAACAACTAATTTTGCAAAGACTTTTCAAAATACCCGTAATTGAAAGAAATGACAAAAGCCTTCACGCTGTGTGAACAAAAGAAATATGGATATTATGCAATCTCAAACTTTGTTTCGCATACAATTGTATGAAAATGTTTCATGACTTTGTATATAAGTTCAGATTGTCCGAGTATGTGTAATATGATATTGTGAACAAAATGATGATATATATCCATGGCGTTCGCCACTTTTTTTAGTTTCTTTGTCACATACACAATTTGTGTTGCAATTAGCGTTTGTCACTTTTGCACAATCAGTCAGCACCGCATGTATCAATCAAAACTAATTAAGTTCAACAATGTCTATATATTGCAATTGAACGTGTTCTAAGTTTTTTTGTATTCAAATACAAAACATAGACTCATTTTTTTTATTACATAATTTATTAATTGAAAATCACGTGACGAATGTTGTTAAACATATCGCGGTAAATGTACCATTAGTAAATGATATTTCCGTAGTTAAATGTAGCTAAACGTTTGGCAAGAAATATACAAATAGCACACGTGTTGATTAAAACTTTGCTAATTATATAAATTAAATGTATATTACAATATTACATCTAAAAAAATTGAATTTCGCAGTTTAAAAATTGAAGTATTTTCGAAAACAAAAAGATGATGAACTTTATTTTTACGCAATGAAAACGTTTGTGCATTAGCCACTTAAAAACTACAATTTTGTTTTTTTTAAAGGAAGATCTAAATGCGTACTAATATACATACATATCTAATAAGTAAATTTTCCATAAACAATTTTCTTAAATGTATTAACGAAATGCAAAAACCTTTGGAAACGCAATTAACTCCATCCATTTTGTATTGTCCATCACATACGCAACTTCCCCCATCATTTCTGAAATTTGCCGCACATGCGCAAGTTGTACCGCTACATTCAGCGTTGGAGACTCCTGCACAGTCCGAGGTATCAGCGCAATTATCACCTAGACCTAAATAAAAGTTAATACTTTTTAAGGTATCTGTGAAATAATATGCTTTTCTTTCAACTGAAACGAACATGTAGTAGTAGTATCTTTATTTACATCTCATCATTGCATATACATGATAAAACATACATATATATTTAAAAACAAAATAAATAAATGCAATGCCATTCCATATGGAATTATAAGAGATGGTCGTGAGAAAATACATTTAAATCGAACAGTTTATCTAAACTAAGCATGGAGTTAAAATACTATACAAGAAAGACATAAAACAATTATTACTAGTAAAACATATATCAACATAAAATAAATAAAGCACGAATATCAACATCGGAACACATGCATTTAAGAGGTTTCTGACATTTAATTTAGAAATATAAGATATTAAAAAAATGTGTGAAACATTCCACATCTATTGTAATATTTTATTTACAAAATTTAAAACGATGTCTACCAAAAATATTTTTATAGGTTTTGCCACAATATCTTATTATTGTTGGCTCTTTATTGGAAAACAAGAAAGAATATTTATCAGAATCTTGCATTTCAGAGAACAAGCTATCATGCTCTATTGCTCTAGAGTACAAATCTACTCTTAAATCATCATAAACCTTACAACTGACCAAAACATGTAATTCATTTTCAACTGAATTATCGTTACAAAAAGGACAAATTCTATCTTCTATGCTCAGACCCTCATAACGGCCGGTCTCCATGTGAATCGGCGCAACTCCTAATCTAAATTTACAAAATGCTGACCGATGAGAAGGCGGTAATATCATTTTACAGTACTGTTCGCTTTCATACTCAGACTTAATAGTTTTATATAATCGTAACTTATTACGACCGCGCCCAGACGGCCCAGTATCATTGTGTAAGCTAGTTTTCCATTCATTAATTAAATTATTGAGAGACACAGACTCAACAATATGTACAAACGTTCTAGCAACTGGATTGTGTAAAGATAAATATACATTCAAATTATTCTTAATTAAAAATGATTTTATATGGAAAAACCAGTTCTTACATGTACAATTAGCTTTATTATACGCCCAGAGTGCAATACGTTTTGTAAATCTAGACTCTTCCATATTTGCTAACTTTGACCAATACAATGCAGTAAATTTCCATTGACGGACTATCGTTGGCTTCCATCCCATTTCACCAACAAGCCCAACATTTGGTGTGTACTTGCAAACACCAAGAAAGAATCGCTGTGCCCTATTATAAATTGCGTCAATACATGAATATCCACGATGTCCCCATAAAGGAGCACTGTAACTTATAACAGGCCAAACTATTGTATCATATAGATTCGTGAAAACATTGTATGGAAGACCACCTAAACTTTTAGATTTTGCAATAAGCAAACCTAATGCTCGACTTGCACTCTGGGCCACAGTCTTAACAGTTACTAAAAGATCCAAATGTTCATGAAAAGCAACACCCAGATAGATATATCTATCAACATATGCTAATTTACTGGAACCGCATTTGAATTGGTACGTTGCGCGTACTACGGAATTTGGTCTAAAATGGACAATGTTGCTTTTGTTGGCATTAACTTGCATGTCATTTGTACTACACCAATTACTTAAGGCAGATAATAATAACTGAAGGTCGTCTGCGGATTCAGCCAGCAATACAACGTCATCAGCATACAGCATTATACAGACTTTTTCATCATCGATCGGTACTCCAATCCCAAACGATTTTAGATAAATTGATAAATCGTTAATGAAGAAATTAAAAAACAGAGGAGACAATATACAGCCTTGTCTTAAGCCACAGTCTACATCAAACCAGTCTGTTCTACATGAATTTACCCTTACACAAGCAGAAACAGAATTGTAAAAAGGGGACTTAATAGTATTAACATTTTTACTTCTAATACCCAATTCAGCCAGTCTGTTCCATAGGATATTTCTGTATTTATAGTAATCATACGCTTTCTAAAATCGATAAAAGCAACAAAAAGTAGATTTACGAGATTTTTTTCTGGTATCAAGAATTGTATGTAAAGACATGATATTTTGATCTGTCCGTGCTTCTGTTTTTTCTAAAAACCATTTTTGCTCATCTGTAAATGATATCATTAGCTTCTGCCCATTTGGTGAGTCTACTATTTAAAACTTGACAGTACAGTTTATTACATAGATGACGCCAGAGAAATAATACCTCTATACGACAATAGGGTCTCTTTTATCATTTGTAGACGATTTTGGAATAGGGTTAATTATACATTTAGACCATAATGACGGAACAATACCTTTATCAAAACAAATATTGAACAATACATGAAGAAACGAAATAGAAACATCGTTATTTAACACTTCAACGGGAATACTATCTATACCGCATGCCTTGCCTTTATTAGCAGATAATAAAGCTGTGCGTACTTCTAGCAATGATATATATGGTCACTAAAACACGGATCACTGGCATATTCCCCACTATCAACATTGTCAATATTATCAACTGATATTAAATTCGACGTGTGTGAAACAACGAGCTAAAAATCATTTTTCCATCTATTAAGAACAACATCAACATCAATTGATATAGACCCGTCTGGCATAAACTACTTCCATTGGAATGGAATTATTAGTTTTTAACATTAACACCTATTTTACCAAATGATTTCCAAAATTTCACAGGGTCAATATTACATTCATCTACTAGTTGCGTTTGTAAAAGAATATACCAATGTAAGCGCTTAGCTCGTTGTACTTCACGGTCAAAATATTTTTCTTTTGTTTATATAAACAGTTTTAAAAGAACCTTCTTCTCACTTACATCAATGCAAGATAACCATGCTTTTTCTGCAATACAAACATTATTCCATAAATCAGTAAGTTTATCGGACCACCATGGTTTACCAGGACGGCGTTTTTTGTTGCTGGACCCGTAGTGTATATTTTTATTTGGTAGCTTTCTATACATATTATGAGTGACAATTCTACACCAGTCATCGTATACCACGTCAATCTCCGATTGTGTCCGAAAACCAGTTTCAAGTTTAGAAATAGTCTTGTTCACAATGAAGATAGTTTCCTGATCAAGCATACAATCTTTAGGCACATTTTAACGTCAAATTTCGTAAAATATTGATTATTAGAGTTATTACCTGAGCTTTCGTTACAATCGCATTTTAATAAAATGTCCCATAACAGAAGTGAATGATCGGGCATTGTACTCGATGCTATAGCAGAAATAATACCAGCCTTGTTCATAAGATCAGTCACTCGAATAACATTAAAGTTAGCAAAATCTGTTAAATTATCATGGCATACAAAACAGTAATCTACTACAGCATTACCTTTTGAAGATATAGATGTGTAATCATTTTTTTACATTATTCCGACCATTTAAATACACATGTTTGCATTTACTAAAAATTCTAACATCAGTTCACCATACCTATTAAATGAAAAATCTATAACATCTCTATCCACAACATCATCAACACCACGTATAAAGTCATCTTGATCACCACATCTACTGTTAAAGTCTCCACAAATAAATATTGTTCCAACATCTCTATTTTGATATATCAAAGTGAGCAACGAATCATAAAACATGTTAACATCAAAAAAATCTCGAAGAATTTTCTGGCGGTAAATAGCAAACACATGGCAAAATAACAACATTACTATGCATGTGAGCAAGTTTGAGTAATAATATACCTTCACAGGAGTTATCCACTACAGATACATTAAAATCCTCAAGAAGAGAGTTTCTAATAAAAAAAAACCTACACCTCCGGAACCAGTCTTTGCATTCCTATGAAGCTGTGTCCTGTTATGACATGTGAAGAACACCTTTAAAATGTCCGCAATAAGCATGATTAAACTTTTAATTTAAAGGTAAAATGAAACTGAAAGCTAGTTTAGAGATAACACCATAGTTTGATAAAAACATTGCCAATAGTATCAACTCTAAAGCCTGATGTTAAAGCAATAACAGTTTAAAAATATTGGATTTCTTTCTGTTTTCTAAAGCGGAAACTCACATGCATAGTGATACGTGTAAATAAATTTTAATTATTGAGAAATGAATCTCTCAACAAAGACGATATTATGTGTTTGCCCAATGCTAAAACCTTTGGTAACACAATTAGCATCATCCACTTTTTATTGTCTCACACATACACAATTTGTGTTACACTTAGCGTTTGTCGCTCCAGCAAATTCAGAGTTGGGGATGCAAGTATCACCCAAAGCTAAATAAGTTTACCTTTTTTTTATACTATACAATCATTAACTTTTTATCGAGTTATATTGGATACGAAAAGCTTTGACGAGTAAGTACAATAACCCACATTGTATGAGTGAGCAGTACAGACAGGAATATCTAGCTCGAGGGTAACTGTTTAATGCGACAACGAGGCTCTGCCGAGCTTCCGCTAAACAGTTACCCGAGAGCTAGATATTTCAATCTGTACCGACAGCCGGTGTTTGATTCTTTTTCTTGGATATTACATATCAATAAAAAAATTTCAGAACAGAAATTACGAAAACTGATATTCTAATTACGCACGTTTTTCTTATAGTAGCGTATGAACTTATAACTTCATTCATACTGTAAAATATGACATCATCCTAAAAACGCAATTCCTTCATAAAATGCGCGCGGCAATGACGTCACTTAAAACACGCGACTTGTCTAACATGGTGGTGTAAGACAGGGTTTTCTAGCACCGGTGTAAATGGTAGATAATCCTGTCTGACATGCAAGAAATATAGCGTCTGTCACTCCTACACAATCCGAGTCAGCAGCGCAAGTATCGCCCAAAACTAAATCAGTTCAACGTATTTTATTCCATACAATGATAAACTTGAACAAAATTTGGTACGAAAAAGGTTTTATGAGTAATTACAAAACCCAAATTGTACGAGTAAGTACAATATGATACTTTACGGAAAATATTGGATTTCTTTCTGTTTTCTAACGCGGAAACTCACATGCATAGTGATACATGTGTATAAACTTTAATTATTGAGAAATGAATCTCTCAACACAGACAATTTTTTTGTGTCTGTCCAAAGCATAAACCTTTAGAAACACAATTAGCATCATCCACTTTTTATTGTCTCTCATATACACAATTTGTGTTACACTTAGCGTTTGTCGCTCCAGCACAATCAGAGTTGGAAACGCAAATGTATGCAGGCTGATATGGCTCTAAACTGGTAGTACAGACATTTTTGGAGATTGAAAACAAACCTCAGTAAATTCTGCCCCACCTATAACATTAGGAATCATTGCAAATCTTTCAAACTAATTATATTAGCTTTTTACCTCGAATGGTTAATATATAACAAAAACAAAAAAGTTGAACTAAAAAATTCAACTTCATTCCATTAAAGGCTTCGAAGCGATATCTTTATTTTCCAAAATGACTTTGCTATAAAGTTTGAAATTATAACATATCGTTTCGAATAGCTGAAACTGGTTCACCTGTTCCTTTAATACACCCTGGACTTTATTGACACTTTAACAACATCTATATTAGCTGATATGTTCAACTTATTTAAATTTGAATCATTTTCCGCTTTAAAATGCTCAAATAAAACTTTTTGTCTTTAGTTTTTTAAAGTGCATTGTTTATACTGGTACATGAACGAGACTTTAATAAACAAGTACATAAAATTATTTCGGCGGTTAAGCAACCCAATCGACTTTCCTGAATAACTAACAAGTAACAGGCAACCCAACCGACTTCTCCGGATAACTAACAAATAACAGGCAACCCAATTGACTCTCGTGAATAACTTACAAGTAACAGTCAACCAAATCGGCTTTCTTGGCTACCTAACAAGTAACAGGCAATCCAACCGACTATCCTCAATATCTAACAAGTAACAGGCAATCCATTTGACTTCCCTAGATAACTAACAAGTAACTGGCAACACAACCGACTTGCCTGGATAACTATAAGTAACCGGCAACCAAATCGACTCTCTTGGCTACCTAACAAGTAACAGGCAGCCCAATCGAATTCCCTTGATAACTAACAAGTAACAGGCAACCAAATCGACTTTCGTGGATAACTAACAAGTAACAGGCAACCAAATCGACTCTCTTGGCTACCTAACAAGTAACAGGCAAGCCAATCGACTTTCGTGGATAACTAACAAGAAGTAACAGGCCACCAAACCGAATTTCCTGGATAACTAAAAAGTAACAGGCAACCCAATTGACTTTCCTGGGTAACTAACAAGTAATTACGAGGTTCACCGCAAGTACATGTTTTCTGAATCAGCGGATTGATCGATCGCCAATTGCCCGAGGGTCAAACATGTAACCCCTGAATAACAGATACGAAAACGTATATACATTGTTTTCCAAATATGTAAAGAAATATGATAATGAGTTAAGAGTTTGTTGAAAGGTCACTGCAATTCCGAAAAACATCTTGTATACTATTTTAGTATTATAGAAAAGAAAGCATTTTATATAATGCTTGTTTTCATCATCTGAAAATAATGGATATATAATATCTTATACATTATATCTTTCTGTCAGATACGTTGTCAATTATTTCTTATGCATAAAGATGCTCGAGTGGCTAATACATTTTTACTAACGCATGTGAAAAGCGGAGAAAAAGCGGTGAATCCTACAGAATACCGTTAGGCCATCGTGGCTATACTTTATAATCCAGAGGGCGACAATGCGATAGTGCGATGATGACAATACGACAGTGCGATGACGACAATGCTATAGTGCGATGGCGACAGTGCGACAAATGCGATGACGCAAGTAAGATAATGCGATAATGCGATAGTGCGATGGTGACAATACGATGCCGACAGTGCGATAACGCGATGACGACAGTACGATAATGCGATGGCGACAATACAATAGTATTATTACAATCTTTGGCTATTTTAACAAATAACTGAAAGATTTACCCTTAAATTTCTGATATTGGCTGAATCTAGAAAGAAGTTCGGAAAAACACAAGTGAATATACGAAAATATGTTTCACTGCAGTGAAGAACAATTTTTTACGGTGTAAAACGGAAAAAAGAAAGCACGCATTTCATTTCTAATATATTAGTTTTCTCTATAAGTCCAAATATAGTTCATTAATAAATCTAACTGGTAATCTTCATTCAGTGTAAAATACTGCTATTAATATTATATTTTTGTATTGGTCATCAGTGGTATTATTGTTTTGTAAGACGTAGAATTTATTAAATTTACTAACAGTGTGAAATAACAAGAAATGTACGTCTAAACATATTTTCCTCTGTACATCTATAAAAGTGGTCAGCAATTTTCACTGTAAGCTTAACTGGTCAGCATATTCTTCTATATGTTTATCTGTTTTAGCAGACTCTACTACACATTTTACTGGTCACCAGTTTTTCGCATGACGTACGTTCAATCTGCTAACCATATAGAATATAAAGAAGAAAATATGGCAAAACCACTTAAGCATTTTTTTTTAATCTTACATTCTTAGCTGTTGTTTAATTCGTTTGCGAGATGTAGAATCTTTTGTATTTACTAATAAGAAACTCACGGTAAATAACACTTTATTGTTCATCGGTTTTCACTGTAAGTGTAACTGGTTAACAGAATTTACTATATATTAACCTAGACGTGCTTTCACGCCTTTTCACGGTCTCAAATAGTGAAAACAATGCCCTATTTAATCCACAAACACTTGAATTAAAAAAGTGGAAAAAAGTTATCACTTTATTTCGGCGCCGCCCTCTAATCTTAAAGATACATCGGGGTGCCAGAAGGGGGAGGGGTGCCCTCTTCTGCATGGAGTTTGAAGGGGGACTGCCGCCTCACTCAACTCCAAAAAGTTTTTGGACTTGTGAGAGGCTCGAAATGGCATCAGGTCTATATTTAGGTAACGTGTAAACAACTTTGAAAAGCCTTTCACTCTATTCCAATCCATTGACAAGTTGCAGCACTGTGAATAATCCAGTTTTGATGTTTGTCTTTTTTTATATAAGTAATAAACAATTATCTTATCGTTTTTGCATTTAAATGTCAACATAACATAATTTTCATCTGAAATATTTCTACTTTATTAAAGTTCACACAGTTTATTACATTTTTAGTGTATGTTTAACTCTTTAAGTCTTTCCCTTATCTTTGGATGTAAAATGATATTTATTATTAATTTATAATTTAATTTAGACGTTATATGAATACAGAAAAGAAGAAAAAAATAATAGGAAAGGAAAAAGCAATAAACAAGAATAACTGACAAAAGTAAAATTATTTTCGAATATTTATATCATACTTATTTATATCATAATAAATAATTTGTAACCGCACCTAGATATTACGCCTCTGTCATCTTGTTGCAATATCATGCGAAATGCGAAAACAGTTATTGCCTTAGCTTATTGCCTTAGTTGAGCAAATTTTCACGTGATTTATTAGGATTAAACTATATAAATTTGTTTAGTTTATTTGTAAGTCGAATTTTACCTCATAAATGAATCTAATAATTTTATTCTTAATATTTTTGTTCGATATGTTTTCTTCTATAATATTTACATATAATGTTGAATTAGGTTATTACCTTTTGCGACACAGTCGCCTCCAAAATCCTTGTATGCAGATGCACATACACAGTTACCATCAACATCAGCTCCTGTATCACATACAGCATTAGCGTCTCCGCCAGCACCGGTACATTCTCCATCAGCCGCACACGCCCCAAAAAGTTCAGCTAAAAGTATATAAAGAAATATACAGTTTAGGAAATAATGCCTTTCTAAAAGTCATTTAGAGTGGCGGCGTGCCCGAGTGATTCACGCGTCGGACAAGTAATCTAAGGATTGCTGAGCGCGAGGGTTCAAACCCTGTCAGGAGCAAGCCGTTGTTTCCTTGAGCAAAAACATTACATTGACTGACAAGAACTCAGACTGAGTTATCATCGACAGCGGTACATTCTCCATCATTCGCACACACCGTAAGTAATGCTGTAAAAATGGTATTTCACGAATGACATTATATTTGGAACACACCTTATGATACCCGAAGACAGCGTACAAAGCAGATGCATCATTTATCTATGATATTCACTTGTATGTTGCTTTTATGTCTTTCATTTACTTTATACTATTTTGTTATTTGCCTTCTATACTAAATAAATTTGAACACATGCGTTACACTATTTAATACAACGCTTTAAAAAGAGATGACTTACCTGAGCAATGATGTGTTAAAGCGAATATCGCTGCACCTACTATCAGTAAGCTCAACTTCGCATCCTGTAATATAAGTATATTACCTAGTCAAAAAATATATCTTAAAAAAACGTTTGTTCAGTTAAAACAGAAAATCCCAACGCATGTTTGTGTTAGGGGAGGGTTGATTACACATTTTGTAAGAACGTTGGTCCTACCCTATTGTTATTTCATTATGTGATAAATTTGATAAATATTTTATTTTGACTTTAGATATAAACAAATCAATTTGAAAATTGTGAAACATTTTATAAAAACATATATTTTTTATTTCAAGGGTACTTGTATTATTGCATTAGAGTCAGGACTCATCAAACGTTTCCGTGTAATAAATGCATATTTTTCTTCTTCTAATGACTTCATATTTTTCATATCGACACTTTCATGATTTCATTATTTTTCAGTTGCGTTGACTCGACATAAAACAACGGCGAGTTGCCGTTGTTCTTTTGAAAACTCTCATCTATTATGTATCTATTTCCATGAACATATATCATATCGTAAAAGTATTTTACGTGTATTTTGAATAGACATTGGTCATTCCTATTGATGTGTCAAATAATCATCTTTACAAAAGTTCATAGAAGTTTTTTAAGTGACTATATGTTCATTTTTTTCGCTGTCAAATTAAGCTGAATTGGTTATTTTTTTCAAAAGATTGACTATTGACAAACAGCTGATATTAGAAAATGTAAAATGAAATATAACTCTTGCCTAAAATAAAAAAGACTGCTCCACACTTTTTATAAATTGAACGTTACATGTAATTTACGATGGATATTCTGAGAAATGTTCTTTAGCCACGCGATTTATTTAACATTCATGCGAAGGAAATTAATAAAACTTGAAAGGAAATATGGCAAAATGTTAACTGTTTTTTTACTTCTACCTCTACACTCTCTATATACCTTCTAGATGAGTATAAGGTCGCTCTAATTAATCTTCGTTCTTCTTAAAAGACTAGTGGCGGGAACAAACTGCACCTACTCCCATTAGCCAACGATATGTTATTCTTACTCCCGTATTTTTTTTTCAATTTATGAAATAATCTATCAAAATTGAATTTTTTTTTATAAATATATAACAAGAAAATAAACTAAATCTTACCATATTTGAGCAATACGTCCGATCGGTCTCAGCTATTGAGGATAACTGACTTAGTTGGAGAACAATTCAAATGTAAATTTAAGATTTGCGTGTTGCCATTGGTTTATTTGTTATTTTTTATTTAATTATTTTTGAAATAAGACCCTCTTGCTATAAATTACATTAAAACTAAATATGTTCTGTTGTTGAACGGAGATTGACATGACACGCTATGGCAAAGTTATTTATTGTTTATTCCAAAAACAATATCTATTATGGGCGCATCTAAAGGGGCTGAGATTCTGTGTCATATTTGTACAAAGCACTGTATTTAATTGTCGTGACTACACTTAATTCGGCTATTATTAGACTTCTATTCGATATAATAGATAAACTGATATCAATCTCTAATTGATCAAATTCCGATTTCATATCAACCGATATAAAACTATAATATACAAATGTCCTTTGTACATTGATCACCGGCATTCTTTTTTATTTGTTTTTTTTTTAAATTTTGAATATTTAAAATTTAACATAAGCTGTATTATTATCATGTGTAGTATAATACATCCGTATTCATAAACTCTTTGCTCCTATGGGATGAATGTAATTCATACACTTTAAACAGTTTGCTACATTTCATTTACATTTTTTAATATAATACTCAAATACTCCTGTATACTCCTGTATAAAAATGATATGATCTTAAATGTGGCTATATTACTGATTGATTTAAAACAGATCAAGGCTTTGTTCGATCAAGTTTTATCTAATCTAGAAGGAATTGCAGATATCTTAAAAGATTACAAAAATGCCGTTGATATTTCCTTAAGAGATTTGAATATATAATTTTGTACCTTTTGATTGCCGACCAACATTATCGCGTTTATTTGATACCTCTTGACAAAAGAAAAAACTTAATTAATTTTAATAGCTTATCACCAATATAACTAGTCTTTTTTGTTTGTAAAAATGGACACGTTAGATAAGATCTAGTCAATGTATTGCATTATTTTAATTGAGAATTGTAAAAATGGATCTGTAATACGTTGATAAATGAGCCGCGTCACGACAAAACCAACATTGTGGATTTGCGACCAGCATGGATCCAGACCAGCCTGCGCATCCGCGCAGTCTGATCAGGATCCATGCTGTTTGCTATCAGTTTCTCTACTTGTTATAGGGTCTGTAAGCGAACAGCATGGATCCTGATCAGACTGTGCGGATGCGCAGGCTGGTCTGGATCCATGCTGGTCGCAAACTTATTATGTTAGTTTTGTCTCGACGCGGCTCAAATATGTGTTTGTTTGGTTTCTGGATTAAATGATATACTATGCCCATTTGTTTCGCTGTCAATTTGAGTTGAATTAGTAACATATTTTTATTCGCTGTTGCCAACAATTAAACATGAAAAAATGAACTGCCCCAGATAAAACATTGAATGTTATCGATACATTCCGAACGATATTTAAGCCGCGTCATGACAAAACCAACATAATGGGTTTGCGACCAGCATGGATCCAGACCAGTCTGCGCATCCGCGCAGTCTGATCAGTTTCTCTACTTGTAATAGGGTTTGTATAGCGAACAGCATGGATCCTGATCAGACTGCTGATCGCAAACGCATTACGTTGGGTTTGTCATGACGAGGTTCATTTATAGAAATTTTATTATAGAAAATTGAACGACTAAAAACCTCACGACAGACATGCAGAAATAATGCCTCAGACAAGGATGGAACCAGCGACCCCTAGGTTACTGATCCAAAGCTCTCCCTATGGAGGTGAGGTACACGGTGGGGTGTCCAAGGATTTTCATGACCAGTAACCATATAATTGACTCATATTGCTTAATTGCAAGATAAATATTACCCCAACCCTAAGTACTAGGACTTATGACCAAATATAGGACTATCTCATGATACTTTCAATAAATATTTTATCTTGAGTCAAATTTGATTTCATTCTCCCTAGAAAAGTTAAGAAATGCAATGGCACACGCAATTCGATGCTTATCTATAAGGCTATTAAGAATTGAACAAGAACGAGTTACGTATTAACATAGGTGTCATAAGTAAAGACATTTCATTGAAACACAAAACTGGCTCCGGTATGGTCTTAACACTGATTTTAGACTCTCCATTAAACGCAATCCAGATGAAAGTGCGATCATTTTCAACTAAGGAATTACTGACATCTATTTTCTACTATCCATTTTTCCGTAAACAAAACCTCATGTAACTCCAGTCATGATGTTGGGAATCCATTTTCACACATGCAAACCAATCAGAACAGCTCGCTAGTAAAACTTTCTTTCACACTTTTTATATTTAATTTTTATTTTCTAAATATAGATAGAAACAAGTGTACGTAAGCATTTCCAAAAATGCTAGGATTCGTCATTCAGCCGGGTATTCAAAGAATACTTTTTTCATGAAATAGACTCCTTCCTGATAAAAAACCCCTAATGTTTCTTCTTTTTACGGGAATCATAATAGAAAATTATATTGTTTATCCCGTAGGAGCCTCCATACTGGTTTGGAGCTACAAACATGGAAAAAGAATTTTAATTCCATGAGCAGCGACAGATTATGCAAATTTTAGAAACATCAGCGCATGCTTTTAACATTATTTAATAGTCACAGGGTAAACGATGCTCTTTAGAATATGAGGCTTCAAAGAAATTTATCTTATACCGCATATCATACATATCACAATACACAGTTTACGTCCGCGCAGACTGATCAGGATCCATGCTGTTCGCTATCAGGTTCTCTTTGTATAGCGAACAGCATGGATCTTAATCAGACTGCTGGTCGCAAACGCATTACGTTGGTTTTGTCATGACGAGGCATTTATAGAAATTTTATTATAGAAAATTGAACGACTACTAGTCTAAACCCACGATAGACATGCAGAAATAATGCCTCGGACAAAGATGGAGTCGCAGGCTGGTCTGGATCCATGCTGGTCACAAACCCACTATGTTGGTTTTGTGGTGACGCGGCTCAAATGCGTGTATATTGACGATATGTGTAATTGATGGTTGAGAATGGGCGTTTTTTAATCGTTTTATAATTATTCTGATCGTCAGAAATTAATTTTACCCCGTTCGATGTAAAATAAATGTTCTCGTTGCTCAATTTACTCATTCAAATTTATCTAAAGTCACGTGGTAAACTTTCAATCTATATTAACCCAATTCCGAGATTATTATGAATAATGACTTATACTTCTGGATTGTACACTAGCCAATTTTACCGATCTGCTGTTTTCATATTTTTAAACGAATTATCATATTAATCTAAGCTTCGTAAAACGACTTCCATCAATAGACTTATGTGAACCTAAATAAATTATCCGAAACATCTTTTGTTACATTACTGTTTCATGTGTTTGTCCAAAAGTTGACCTTATTTTTTGACAGTGTCCATAAATTTAACAGGACCATGTGCCGGTTAGTCTTAATGAGCAGCCGATGATAAAACTTAACAAAACATTCATTGTTTATAGCCTTGAAACAGTGCATGTTATTGATCATTTAATTCCTTCATTCGACTATCTTTATATCATATATCTTTATAAAAAAAACTACGTGGGCTGCATTTGAAATGTAGCTGAAAATTACAATTTACAAAGAATGACTTGATAAAAGTATTAGCTTGCCTCGTATACCAGTCCAGGAGGGCGCCCATTCTTTTAAAAAAATACCAATACATGTTATATGTAGTGTCCTTCTTAATTACGGATATCTCTCAAATAAATAAACATTATTGTAATTATAATCAAAATGGTGACTGAAAGACCGGTTACTATTTAATTGACCTTTTTGAAACAATTGTTGGGATGTAATTTAATATTTATTGTGAGATGACGGCCTATATTAATGTCAGACTGATCTGAAACAAACAAACACCTGCAGAGACTATCGTTTCATTCATTAGCATTTTTTTTTGATAAATTAAAACCAATTTACTTGATTTGATTTATTAATAAAAGAAAATACCTATATTAATAGCACAAAACACATATCTTTAATTTGATGAACTTACTCAATTACTTATTTTAGGGGTTCTTCGCGTTTCAAATAAAATAAAGATAATAAAAAAAGCAATTAAAAATGTTTCATATTTTACGAACATGCTTGAGCATTGATGTTGGCGTTTGGATATCGTGTTTAAAAAAATTGTTTTGTTTTTTAATCTGTATCAAATATTATCGTAAGAACAATTAATAGTTTAAAAAAAATAGTGGAATATATTTTGCATTTTACATATAAGATAAATTTATCTGATAGCCTTGTCCGTGTCTGGTTAAAAAAACTTTTACATTTGTCTCGTATAGTAAGTTAATAACAATATAATTGTGATAACAATATAATTAAAGGTTATTTGTTCTAATGCATGTGTAAATACATGTATAGGAGCCATGTCAAGTAAGAATCACTGATTAACTGATTTCAATATAGAAATCATGTCAAGTAAAAATCATTGATAAACTAATTCCAATATAGCATGTATGCCAAATAAGAATCACTGATTAACTTTTTTTAGAACGCAATGTCTAGTAAAGAATCATTGATTAACTTATTTAATTATTGAACCGCATTTCTAGTAAAATTCACTGATAAACTGATTCCCAATTAAGAACGCATGTCAAAGTAAGAATCAGTGATTAACTAATTCCAATATAGACCGCACGTCAACTTGAAGTAAGAATCACTGATTAACCGATTCCAATTAAGAACGCACGTCAAGTAAGAATCACTGATTAACCGATTCCAATTAAGAACGCATGTCAAGAAAGAATCACTGATTAACTGAAAACCAATATAGAAACGGCATTCAAGTAAGAATCACTGATTAGCTGATTCCAATATAGAACGCATGTCAAGTAAGAATCACTGATAAACTGATTCTAATATAGAACGCATGTCAAGTAAGAAATCAATGAATTAACTGATTCCAATATAGAACGCAAATGTCAACTTGAAGTAAGAATCACTGATTAACCGATTCCAATTAAACGAACGCACGTCAGTAAGAATCACTGATTAACCGATTCCAATTAAGAACGCATGTCAAGAAAAGAATCACCTGATTAACTGAAACCAATATAGAAACGCATGTCAAGTAAGAATCATTGATTAACTGATTCTAATATAGAACGCATGTTCAAGTAAGAATCAATGATTAACTGATTCCAATATAGAACGTATTCAAGTAAGAATCAC